CTTTACTCCCCGAGGACGTCATAAGATCCATGACCTATATGGCCCAGTAAAGTATAAAGTCCTCAGAGAGCCTGGTGAAGGAGGTTCAGTGTATACTATAGCACCGGTAACTGATTTAGCTAAAATCAGAAATGTCAACCGCATACTGTTAAAGGCGGCAGCAGAAGAGTCTGGAGAAGGTGCCATTGGTCCCAGCTCACCACTTGGTGATCATCGATTTGAGGATGAGATGTCAGGTGATGAGGATATGTATGTTTTGGAGAGTAGTAATCCTCCTGCTCCAACAGTGGTGCAGGCTAACCAACCTTTTCAGTCAGGGGATCCACAACCTCAGTCGCCAGGCCTATCAGGCATTGCCACTCATGGTGGAGTGGCATCTTCTGGTCNACGCGACAGTCGGCGACGATGGCCCCCACAGCAACGCGACAGTCGGCGACGATGGCCCCCACAGCAACGCGACAGTCGGCGACGATTAAAAATGTTGAAATTTTAATTTTGGGGTCTGTATTTAATGTCCTTACACTCTGAAGGGATCAGACCAGTGGTGGCTGGATTTTTTTTTCTCCAGGTGGGCTACAAGTCAAAGACAAGCCTGCTTAGTTTGCCATACATTTAACACATCTGAATATCATGTAGTTATGGTTCATATTGCTCTTCTGTAAGGAATGTTTTGACCAGATTCTTCACAGAGCATGGTCAGTGCAGTGAGATGTGATGTTTACCCGAGGGGAAAGTCTGGATTGTCTTTGGTGTCGCACTCCAGATCAGTTTGCTGTTTTTCACTTTGAGGGAAATGTGTGGTTCTAAAAATGCATCAGTGTCTAAATGACGCATTCTAAATTACTGCAATATTAACATTTCTAAATACTGCCTCAAACACTAAAACCCACAAGTTACATTTAAATGTGTACTCCCAGTTTTGAAACACTTTGGAGCTCTGGAGTGGTGTTTCATTCTGTGTCCCTGTAATGGTCTGGAGACCTGAGAGGCTTCAGCCTCCACCTTGACCCTGATTAGGAACAAGGAGGACGTAATGGATGGATTACTCGTAAAATATTCTCAACATCCATAGTTTTGTGTATTTTATAAATATAAAAAACATTTGACTGCTTGTAGGAATGAACACATTTGTAACATTTATTTAAAATGCATCTGTTATAAACTTTTACCAGTAAAAACTCATCCCTTTTTGGCTCATAATTCCTAACTCTTGTACATACAATGTTCCCCATATTTGTGAAAATTAATTAGGGTGTCTTTTCCACCTCTTGCACTCAACACAGGATTTCTGATGGCGACATACTGCTTCACATCCATGTAACACGCAGTATCTCCTTCTGATCTCAGCAAACACCCTTTCTGGCCTGGGATGCTGGAGCCTCTCATAATCCTGTATGATGAGTTGTGTCCAGAACTATGGGATGCACTTCATCTACAGTTATATCAGGATTGTGACACAAACGGCCTCCCACTCTGAAGTCATCAAACTCAGGTGCAAATAGAAGACGACTGGCTTTGCCAATGGGTTTATCTGCCTTAACTGTGTGATTTCCTCTAGGAATGACTCTCTTTGGGCTTGTTGTAGAGCTTCTAGTTCAGAATCAGCAGTGAGAGGGTTGTTGGGGTCAGCAGCCCCATGAAGCTGATGTGCAATGGCTTTAAAGAAGCTGTCCCAAGTCTGGTACAGATGTGGATCTGGAACACTAGAGCTAGACATAGTTACACAAACAACTTGTTGTTTCAGCTCACCTTCAGGATCACTCTGAGGTGGGGGTGGTAGATTTGGCCAGTCACTTGGAGTCAGTTTCAGGAATTTAGGTCCATCTGTCCATCTAGCTGATGTCTTGGATAGTGAGGCCACGAGTGATGTCGTCTACGGGGTTGTCTCATGAGGGCACGTATCTCCATGTAGCAGCTTCAGTTAACTCTTGTATTTCTGCCACACAAGCATCCACGTGGACCTTGTATCTGCAGGAGTCTGAACCATAGGCGTCACAACAATAGTAAGTGAAGGGGAC